AGTGAAGACTTTTCCTTTCAGTGTGAACCGCTAGCCTTTTCCCTTCTCTCTGGATGCAAAGCCTGTGAACCTTCCACTGATTCTCGACAGGAATTACAGCCCTTAGCAATTCTTTTGTAGAAACAGAGAATTCATGTTTGATACCTCACATTGATTTCCCTAAACTTAATTCTATACTCTTTAGCTATTTGTTGCATGAGAGAAGGGACAGTAAAATTACATTTCACAGAAAGAGGATGTCACATCATGTAACTCTACTCGGTTCTCATCTCCCTAATCAAAGCAGAGTTCTTTACAATAAATGCAGGTGTAGGAAAATGACTAAAGAAGGAATAACTGCAGGTACCTACCGGGTGCACGCCTCCAAGAACCGCCTCGGATTCCTTCGGCCCTTGCTTTAGCAGGGCCCTTTCAGTTGGTTACTTCACAGATGTACATCTCTCCACTGAGGGGCTATCACTCTTCTAGAAGAATCGGAGCACTAAAATAATTCCCTGCATACCGCGGAGCCTTCCACTTCGGCCCGCGCATGCCCACCCTCTTTCCTCATCTGAGTCTCATGGAGGCTGAGACAGGGACTAGGAGGCACTTGACGAGCAAGCCAGCCTGCTCCGAGTCTTGATCCCTGTGTGCCTCCTCTGTAAGATGAAAGGACTAAGATGATTTCTTCAGTCTCCCTCAGCCCTCAAGCGTTTGTCATTCTTGGGGAATTAGCGAACCTTTCTTCCTTCCTATCTTTTGTCGACCTATCATCCCCTTATCTTCCTCCGGTATATGTGAAGATGTTTCAGAGGTGATTTTTAAGCTAATGAAGCTTAAACCTCAAGTCTCTCCCTGGGATCCTTCTAATTTAAAAAGCTCAATTTCCTACCTAATTTTATATTTTAATAGTGTATTCTTTTTCTTAAGGCAGCTTTCCAATTTGTATGCCTTAAAAGCTCTACTGAATCTGCATTAGCTTTTTGGTGATTTAAGACAAATATAAATGAGTGTCAAATTGGTAATTAAACCTGGATACAGTGACACACATTTGTAATCCCAGCACTCAAGAGGCTGAGGCAGGAGGATTGCCATGAGTTTGAGGTCAACTAGAACAACACAGTGCGTTCAAGCCCAGCCTGAACTACATAGTGAGACCAGGCCCCCCCACACACACACACAAAACAAAACAAAACAGAAAAGGGAGACTTATAAAGGAGAACCTGAAATGAGGAATAGGAATGGAACGACATTAAATGCTGGGTGGCTTCACTAGTACAGCAACAAGCAGAGCTTAAACCTCTGCAATTTTTCCCTGTTTTTTAGGGAAGGGTCTACAGGGTGTTCAGGGTCTCACTACTAGATCGGACTCGTAGTGATCCATCTGTTTAAAGCCTCCCAAGAGCAGGGATTACAGGGGCGCCACCATGCCCAGTCTCAATTGCCGTCTCAGCACGCCCCAGGGGGCAGGGCTGGCACAGCAAAACTTCTACATTTTGGAAGAAAAAGCCGTGAAATGACTCTATGTATTGCATAACTCTCTCTATCAGAACAACCTCTTGCATCCAAATCAAACAAAATATTTTATGAACCCAAACTGTCTCGTTGGAACATTCTATGGGGAACTAAATCACACTATAATCGAAAAATGGCGCTTTTCGAAAGTAGAGATCTTTTTTTTATATATATATATTTTATTTATTTATTTGAGAGAGAGAGAGAGAGTATTTATTTGAGAGAGAGAGAGAGAGAGAGAGAGAGAGAGAGAGAGAGAGAGAGAATGTGGCCACCTCAGCCCACCAGGGGGCGGGGCTGGCTGGCATGTGGTGCTGGGGGATTGAACCGCGGTCCCTGATGCTTTTTGCTAAGCTTGTTCTAAGTAGGTGCTTTAGACCACTGAGCCATCTCTCCAGCCCGAGATCTTCATGGAAACAAGTCATCAATTTATGTAAAAGCCTCCGGGCGAGGTCTTGTCCCGCGCAGATGTGAGGGACACAGACATGGGCTTGTCCTTCACCACTCTCGGGCCAACATGCACCAGTATCTGGGGGTGATGCGCAGGTTGTGGGAACCGTGCAAAGAGCGGTGAGATTGAAAAAAGTCAACTCACACCAGGGACATGGAGAAGGGAAGAAGGAATGACTTCGGAGGCCTGTTCCAAAGGTAGAGAATGTTTGAAACCTGCCGCCATGGGCCTAGGGAATTCTCCTGAGCACAGCTCGACCCATTTCCATCACCACTGTCACCATCCTTCCCAAAAATGGAACCACATTCGCTGATTCATTCCCTGCAGATCCAGAAGACCCCTACCTTTCATGAGATGAATCGCTGTAGTTCATTCTAGGCCTGTGTGCCCATTTCCTTGAGTGTTTGGTGACTCCTCTTGGCTTACTTGTAGCCTTTTAATGTCTCTGATGAGTTCACTAAATTCTTTAGTTGTCTGCAGAGAACACAACACCAGGTATTTGGACATAAAAATAAGAACCATTAGGAGAAAACTACCATTTGAAAATACACTGTGTACATTTTTTGGCCTACAGATATTTTCAACTTCAAAACTCTATTCAAATGAACAGTTTAAAAATCTTTTCTAAGCAATTCTCATTTAACAGCATGGGATGGAAAAGTGACTCATCTGGCAGAACCTCAAAAAATTGTAAGCCACAAAATGAGGAAGAGCCTGAATTTTAAGCATCCAATGTTAGGTAATAACATCTTCATAAGAAAATAGGATCTCAGAATAGCCTTTGTTTGGCACGGTGTGCACACTTGAAATGAACAGGATTCTGCTGCCCTGGAACACCCAAAGGGATGGAGGTGTTGCTGCACCTTTCTAAAGTATTCAACTCTAGCAGGTGCTGCACCAAACAGCCACACAAGATTACTTTCCACAGTGTCTCACCAGAAGCCCCGAGAACTGTACCTCGCATTATGCAAGGCCCGCTGCCTCCAGAAAAGTCTGAAAACGCGTGCTAGTTCTCTGCCTGCCACGTGAGCTTCCATTCTCTTCGACGGATGAAGACAGGCAAGCTGTTCCTTGCAATGATGCAGGACTCTTGATCAGAAGGAAATTCGGAGCATCTGCAGCTGAACTAACATTATGGCACGGCCATGGTACTGCTTACCTCATTCAACAGGAAATTTGCAAAAGAAGAAAGAGATTTGGTATCAACTTAATGTTACTTTGCTGCAGAGACAAAGGTAGTCTACTGAGGCATCTGGTTGGGAATCTAGCCACTCTTTGTGCAAATAGTGTTTAGCTTGAAATTCAATTCACAGGATAGAGTTCTAATGTGCAAATGGCAATTGAGCTTTTCCATTTGGGAGCATCAGAAATCAGCAATTAGCCTTCAGCAGTTGCATTATAACCTCCAAGCACCTAAAATCAAGATATTTTTAATACATGTAATCATTGAAAATAAGATCCCATTCCTTCTAGGCTTTAAAAAAAAATCATAGTAAATCATAGTAAACTTTTAGTCTTCACTCTTTTCTCTCCATCCAGACATAGGAGAATAGCTTTCAGTTTAAAACAATGCAGTTCTGGGAAATCTCTAAGCAAGGTACAATGAAGACTTAAGGCAAGCAGAGGCCAGCTGTTCAAGCAAATACTAACGTAGACATTCAGTGATTCTCCCAGTCACCACCAGGGAGGCCCACTTCAGTGATGTGGAGAGCAAGTCTGCGCAGTTCATTAACAGCTATCACCTATTGGCTAAATACCGTGTGCCAGACTTGCATATGGAGTCTCCTCCTCGAGCCTCACAGCAGCCCTGTGCAGTAGGTGTAGCTGCCCCTTCAGATGGACAGACAGGCTTTGGGAAGCTGAGAGCATGCCTCAGATCACCCAACCAGTCAGTCTCTCTCTCTCTCTCTCTCTCTCTCTCTCTCTCTCTCTCTCTCTCTCTCTCCCCCCTCTCTCTCCCTCCCTCCCTCCCCCCATTCCCATCTCATGTCCTGGCACACCAGTGGTATTTTCACACTGGTGGTGAAAATGCCACCACCTAACTTTAGTGATGAAGCTACACATCCCTGCCTTCTAGTGAGCAATACCTATCCCAGCGTTAACTTGGCTAGGACAACAGCAGAAATCCCTGCAAGGATGACCTGTGGGAAGCTGTGGTCTGGGTGCTTTCCATCTACCAAGTCCTACAATCCCCTCAATAACCCCCAGAGAGAGGAAAACCAGAGGAACTGAAGGCCTGAGCAGCTTGCCCCAAGGTCACGCCGCTGGCGAGAGTGCAGGAGTCAGACCTACTCGAGCTCACCCTGGCTAGCTCCCAAGCCACTGCCACTCAACAACGCACTGCATTGCTTGGCCAGGAGTTTCAAGCTGGATGCAGACCACACTTACCGCCACATTCATACCAAGTTAGGCCACATTCTGCAGTGGCTGAGCCATCTTTGCACAACTTGGGAATTAAAGTGAAAGGTGAAAAATCAATGAAGTCCATGATTGATATGAAGAATTTAATGTATTCTTTAATTATTCTGCTCAGTTAAGTTTCTTTTACAGGGTTTAATCCACAAATCTGACAGGTAAAAGAGAAATATAAATGATGGGTTTTTGAAGTTAATCAAATAAAGTGCCAAATGATTTTTCGGCATCTAAGGCTTGCATCTCATAACACATTTTAAAAGATCAATCACATAAATGGACATATTTGTAAAGGTTTGCATAGTACATGTGCCTGCATACTGTGGTTATATCTCAATCTCTGATTTGAACCACATCACAAATGATCATTAGCCTTATGAGCAGACACAAAATATTTGATGTCATAAGGATTTCTTCTCCGAATTGGTGATGTTGAATGTTAATTAATTTCTAAACTGTGATGCATGCACCCAGGAGTTCAAAAATAAAAGCAAAATAGTTTCAATGGTTAATTTGCTCTAATTTCTTAATGTCCTAAATGTTATTAAGTGTCAAGTTTCTGAAACATTTTTAAGTAAAAGACGTCATATGTGAAAAGCAAACAAAACTAACAGTTTCTCTTTATTGTTTTCTTTCTCTGCAGGTATTCCCAGTATTTCCAGTATTGGTAGTAAGTAAAACAAAAAACAAAACGAAACAATTCACCACACTAAGTCTAGGCTAGCTTTGTGTCGTTGTTCAGCTTCTCAGATCTATTTTTCCAGTGTCCATTTCTGATGTACTAATAGAGCCTTCTCTTTGCAAATTGCATGTTTTCTATCAGTCTTCTGCGTAAGTGTGCTGCAAGCATGGACAGAGTAGTTATGCAGAATTCTCCCGTGGACGCGGCATGCCTCGGCTTCTCTGACTCCTTTCCATTGGTGAAGCCCACTCTGGCATATTCAGTAGAACTGTAACTTGTCCTATTTATGAATGCTAAGAAATCTACAAAGAAATCCAACTCTTTCTCCAGGGCTGGATGTGGATTTCTCACCTAATTGGAGAAAGCAGAGAACAAATGTCAATGAATGTCTTCGGCAATTCATTGGAACCCAAGGAAAAGGGCATAAAACCAGAGAATTTTTGTTAATAAATTAAATTCTAGGATTTGTGAAGGCCTGAAAGGGGCAGTTTATGATCATTTGTCTTTTGGGAGGAATGACAGATGATCATCAGTATGCCCATTTCTTCCTAAAACACAGAGATCCATGTGTTCCTGTGTATCTAGGCTTGAATTTGCTACAAAATGGGTATATAAATGCTTGGGGGATTGAGGAGTCAGAGGATGAGAAATTCTGTAAAAAATCAGTTCATAAAAATCTAAGCCAGTGAAAAGGTATCCATCCTCACCTCTCTATTAAGGCTTCTCTAGTATTGCTGCAAAGAGCAAAGAACATTCTCGGGCTCTACTGGGAGACCCAGGCAGCAGCCCCACCTTCCCACATGAGCCATGATTGTGAGCTGAGGGCTCACCAGAAGCACGCCGAGTAACGTCAGGGCAGAATTCTACATGTTGCCTCCTTTATCTCAAATGGCTAAAGCCATGGGACAGCTACTAAATAAGTGATTAAAAATCCAGGCCTAAGGAGGCACCTATGAGGCACTTAAGTGAGGAGAATTGTCATCGTGGTGTCACCCCTGAAAGTTTTCTGTCATGTGCACCGTGCCAGCTAGGGTGGTCTCACCGTAAACAACAGCGCTTGAAGCACTGAAAGTGCAAGATCCAGTACAAAGCAATATTCTGATAATTTGGATTAAAAAAAAAAAACCTTCCTGCTTCTTATACATGTGCAGTCAGGTCTTTCAATTTATCAATCAACCCCAATCGACTTAAGCTTGTGAATAGGCCCAGACACTGATTTCTCCAGTATCCAACCTGTTAAATGGCATGAAAATCAGCCACTTCGTAAGCAGAAGTAGACTTCAGAATCACTCAGGCACCAGCCTAGCACCACAGCCCTGGCTTTGCACTCTTGCTGGGTGGTGTCTGTGCTACAGATGTCAGAGTGAAAGCCTCCACTTGCAGGGGTCTGATTTTCCACCGCAGTACCTCCCATGGCGTTGGCTCAGCTGTACAGGGAGCCCACCATACACTCCTTTCAGGCCTTGACAACTGCATTTGTACACTCATTGGAGAGAAGAAGGAAGCCAAACCAGTCAGGCTGAGACAGGTCACTGAGACTATGGTGATCTGCTCTGTCAAAAATTTCAGAAATGGATGGATGGAAAAGTCGTTCTCCGGTGCTGGTGTGTGTCTCTGTTGTGAGTGCCGGTTGTGTGTCGCATGGCCCCTCTGATTGTGCTGCTCACTCTACATCTCATCCGGCCGCCTCCACCACATCCCCATCTCTGAGCATCAGCAGATGTTGACCTTTTACACAATGAAATGGGAAATCCCAGTTTTGTTTTGCTCTGTTTTCTTTTGAAATCAGTGGTGACCTGAAAGGATGCTTTGTTGTGCCTTTGGAAAATGTATTCATCTTTATTATGAAGAACCTGGGAAAATTTAACTCCTAATAACTGGGGGTTGGGGGGCAGGCAGAAAGTGACAGTTTACACACTGCCTTCAGTATACCACGCCCGTTCTGCTTGGAGTGCAATGGGGCTTTCCTCTGGCTTCCGGCAAGTAGGTCGTACAAGCTTCCGGGGCTCACCCAACAGCACACAGGACTAGCTTGCTCGTTGCCTGGCTTTTAAGGTAAAGAGATTTCCAACAACACCATCAAAGACGATCGCGCCTTCTAGGCTGCTGTTGCGGCACTCGGACCTTCCTTCTTTGTGGGCTTCTAAGGTGCTTGTTGTGCACACTCCTGGATTCCTCTCTTCCCTGAGGGGGTCAGGATTCACACACAGAGGACTCATCACCCATGCTACAGCATACAGGAGGGGGCTGGCAAGGTGCCAGGCAGAGAAGGGGAAGATGCTTTTAACCAGGGCTGGGTGTTTTCCAGGACCTTCCTCTTTATCCCAAAGATGGAATTCATGAACACAATTCCACCAGCTACGTAGGAAGGTAACCACTGTCACAGAAGTAATGCCCATGAAGCTCTAATCAGCAAAGAGTATCTGAAAGAAAATAAATGATGTGTATCATCAGTGGAAAACCTTGATGTATGTAACCACAAGTTTGCATACATAGACTTCATACGCAATAACTAAAGGCTCTGGAGCCCTAATAGAGCTCAGCATAGATCTCAAATTAACAGTCAACACCTTCTGTTAAGGTTCAGACACATGGAGAGAACTGTCATCCTTTCCGATCATCTGCTAAAAATATTTTTGAAACAAATTCTCCATTAAAGCCATTTGTATTTGCTATTGTCTATCCACTAAGAAGTGGGCTTCTCAGGCATCCCAAAGGTCCTTAATTTAACACAGAATACTTCTGATGTGCTTTGGCCATAGCGGAAAAAACACTGATGATACTGCCCGCAGTGAGTGAATCCTGGGATAGACCTGTAGCCACTTGAGCCTTCGGATCTGTTTTCACCTTCCCTGGTGGAGCAGCCATTCATTCACATTTCACTTTTCTAAGAAAGTGTATGCACAAGTACATAGTCACATATGTTATTTAAGTGAACATTTGTTGAGGCTGATGATCCAAATTAATATTTGGCTGGTTGTAGGTGTGTATGTTAAGGTGATAAAGTAACCATTGCCTTCTATCCCATGTTATCTGATCTTTAGTCCTGCAAAGCGAATGACTCCACTAATTATGTTAAATAATATATTATAAGTAGCATAATTAGAGAGGAGAGAATTGGTCTAATGCACAAGTAGCTTTGTGGGGGTGATTATTACTTCCTACAAAAGCACATGACAGATGAGTCAGAAGTGAAAGGCAGACCATCCACACAATGAACGATCGCATCAAGAAAGGCCATGTTTAGAAACTAGACTTCGTAAGCAACAATATCGTAGATACCAACAAAAGAAAAAGACAAGTAGAAACATTTTGCCTATCTATAGACGATGCCTTGAAATTACTTTCCAGTGACTGACATGGTGGCATATAAAACATAGACTATCAATACAGTTGTTTGGCTTTCCCTCCCCCCTCCAGCAACTTCTATTGAATTTGAAATAATTCACTTAAGGGAAATATTGCATTTTCCTGTTTTCTTTTCTAACGAGCACTGCCTTCATCACAGAGTTAAAAACTCATCTCTAATTTGATTTAATTGGCAGGACTATTAAACAAGGGAAATGCTACCTGCAGGGATCCATCACCCTATTGAGACAGCCCAGAGATGTTTTCATACTTTAAAACATTTGATGCCAGTTGGAGACCTTGTAGAAGTTGTTTTCCATACAGCATCTAAATATTTTTGTGAAACATCAATTTACTTATTGTGATACGGGATCGTGAGGAAAATAACGAGGTTAATCACGTTCCTACCCAAGGGTTATTAATAATCTTGTTCATACTATCCAGAGAGTTGCCGTGTATGTTTGCTTTATTTTTTCCCCTTTGCCTTAATACTTCTAAATCCCCCAAATAAAAGTTTCAGCTGAATTGCCCTTTAACTAATTAGATTTTATATAATGAGGGAAAATATTACCAGGCTAGTGTAGCGATATGGCAAATTGCATGGTGTGTTGCATTAATTTTGAACTATTTGCTGATGTTCTAGAAGGAAAGCTAAGGTCCCAGGTGAAATGCCTTTGGGGTTGTTATATTGTGTACCCAGTATCCTCATCACAGATCCATTTCATATTTGTGTAACTAGCATTTCACATTCATGAAACCTTTGTGCTTATCCTAAAATTGAATGAACATTAGGACATAGCTGCCTATTCAATCCTAAAGAATAAATCCAATCCTCCAATAAAAGAAAGGGAGAGAAACTCTTACTTGAAAGAAATCTGAGAGGTTTACCAATCCATATCGACCCATCTTAAGCAAACTGACTTTTTCCTGCGTTAATCCTTTCCTGGCAAATTCAGAATATAAAGCCACTTTTTAAGTGTGAGCTGCTATCTCTACCTCAATGAGGTCAAGAGATTTTCTGTTTAAGTAAAGAGATGTCTCCTGAGTTCTGATTTACAAAGAGGGAAACCGAGGCTCAGAGTGGCCAAGTAGCTTGCCCGAAGTTACATGGCCAGGAAAGCCTGTTTGACTTTAAAGTTAATTTATATACAGCATTTCGCCAAGTGGAAGATTAGAAAAGAATTCTAGGTTCACTTGCTGCTGCCCCAGACGCTGTCCATTTCTGAACTGACCCACTTTCATGAAGGAAGCTAAACGGTCCTGGATAAAAACAGAAAGTCATTATCTGTCACCTCCCTTTGATATCAACACAAGTACTTACAAGCTTGGCCTCTCAGGACAGAGAATGGGGGACTATGACCCTTCTCCCATCAAGGTATGTCCTTTGTGTGCCACAAAATACCTTCACTACACCCAGGAAGACAAAAGGTGGATAGCTGTCAGATGTGGCACATGAAGTAGTTCAGGGAAGTTTTCTGTGTCAGTTGTACAACATGTTTACATGGTAAACCAATTTTTTTCTAGGTTGTGATAGTTCTTATATCAAAACAAAATGCTACGTGCCACCTAAAGCTAGATCTTCACTATCATCGTAAATTCATTTTGCCCGTCAACTTAATGATGGTTTGCTTCTTAGCACA